CCCGCCGGTCACCGCCCCCCCACCGGGAGGCTGTCCCCACCCTGTTGACCCCCCGCCCTGCCTGATCCAGTGACCCCTTGAAGCCAGCACTTCGAGGATTTGTCTGACTTGGGCAAACTAAGGCGCCTTTTTCAAAGGAAGCCTTTCGTCCTTCCTAACCGTTCCTCAAGGATCATTCACCTCACGCTGCTCGGGGCCCGGAGGGCTGAGCTCGGGGCATCTCGCTGCTGGGCTCCTTCCCCCGGAGAGGACCGGGCCAGCGCGGGGGCCAGCACGGGGTTGCCTGCCCGACCCCAGCCCTGTCCCAGGTCGTCCTGACCGTCCCCACTGCTGCTTGGTGGTGCAATGGCTGCGTGATGACCAAATCTGCCTCAACTCCTGTCCTGATAGATGCTGCGTCCCTGAAGAGGGCTTATCAGTTGATCAAGTCCGCCAACCTGGGGAAATCAGAGTTTGACCCCACAGAAAGCTTCAACCCCGACCTGTTTGTTTTGTGTGCAGAACAGGCCCTGAAGGTGATTAATCCCAGGGGTCCTGGGGAGGCGCCTTCAGGGGACCCCGATTTCTTGGTTTGCACTAGAAGCGGGAAGCGGCAGCCCCTGGTGGGTGGTCCCCTGGGCCGCCCCCTCTGTGAGCCTCTTGGGGTGGGGGGGTCCGTGTTCTTGCGCAGATGGGGCAGCCCGAGGTGAGCGAGGACTGCATCCGGATGTACTTCAAGGTGAAGGGGCCGGTCACCCAGTTTCTGGGCCGAGCGCACCTGTGCAGGGCCCAGCTGTGTGCCCCCAAGTCCACCGAAAACATGGTGAGAGGCGATTCCGGGCCCTGTCCCAGCGTCCCCGCCAGCCCTGCGTGCTGGTTCCTCCGGATTTTCTTCATTGTCCTTTTGGATCACGAAGCCTTGGTGTGCACAGCCTTGAGTGTCTTGGCGAGGTGAAGAGCACCCTTAGCTAGTTTGCCATCCTGAAATGAATATATAATTGTCCTACTGTATTTTTCCCCTGAGAGGTTGTTTTCATTCTCCTCAAAGTTCCACGGCTTGTACCGCCGCAGTTAAAATTCCCCCACCTCCAGACGGTGTCAGGCTAGACTCACCTTAAAACGGCTTTGTTGGGAGTTGGGCGACCAGATTCTTCAGTGAAGTGAGATGCCGCATTTCCCACCTGTGCTTTTCCCTGAGGGGGTCTGGCTTGTGTCCTTTTGACCTCTGCCCTTTGTGGCCCCGTGCCTGGTGATGCCTGCAGCAGAGGTGGGGTGCAGGGTGGGGTGGGGGGTGGACTTCCAGGCTTCTAGGGAGGGGGTGGAGCTCCTGAGAGCTTCTGTGGGCGTCCACTCTCCCTGTTCACACCCTGTGGGGCGGGCCGTCTTCAGAGAGGCTTCATGTTCAGGGGAGTGACGGTGAACAGGGATTGATGTTCCAGTAGCAAATTTGATCTAATTGTGCATCCTTTATGTTGTTTAGGAGGAATTTGAAAATTGCGTGACTCAGTATATGAAGGCAATCAACTTTGCGAAAGGAGAACCAAGGTGAGCATGACGGAACGGCTGTTTCTAACTGAGTGTGTACAAGGTTTAGAACCAGAACTTACCAGGTGGTTCTGTCTGTCTGGACGCCGGGGTTTTTGTCTTGTTTTGTTCGTGTTTTACTGCATCTGTGGCTGTGGGCTCACGTCTCTAGCGTTGGAGCGGGGCTGCGTGCACACTGGACCCGTTAGCTGCACCCTCTTCCCCGTGCACAGGTCTCTATGACCTGCAGATGCCTTTTGCCTGCTTTCTCTGTGGGAACCTCGCCTTTGACCAGTCCCCGGGCACCTCCCATTCTCGTCCTCTCTGGGAGGTTGGCATCTGGGCTCCCTCCCTGCCCTGCCCCCACCGGCCTGTGCTCCCCCTGGCAGATCACCTGGCCCACGGCGTCGTGTCTGTAGGGGTGATTCCCCTGAAACTCCAGCACAGTTTTCTACTTAATTACTGCTTAAATATTATTGAAATTGTTAAGTTTGCATACAAACTGGTATTGATACAGCCTATTTAAACAGGACACAACGTTTAAAGCACATTTAAGTATAAACCCTAGGTTCATTCATTCCTTCTCCCAGTGTCGCTGTGGATGGCCTCCGCTGGCCAGCCCCTGTCGTAGGTGCTGGGGATATAGGGCTCAGCTCCGCAGACCCTTCCTCAGCGGGGACATCTGGATGGCAAGGCCTGGCCTTGAGCCAGAGGTTCTAAGGGCAGTGGGTATTTCAGGGGGACCATGCCCCGGAGCCCTGGAGCCAAGCTGTGGTGCACCCTTGGGGAGGGGCCTGGTCAATGCTGCACTGCAGGGGTCTTGGGGGGACGTGCAGACTGCCTGGGGGGGACCAGGAGCCTCGGGGGCTAGTGGATGAGGGGTCTGAGTAGACCCCACGAAGGAGCAGGCAGCCTTGTCTTCCTGCTGGGCCTGGCCCGCCCTCCTCTGGGGCGCAGCGGTCATCGGCAGCACCGTCCACCAGACAGCCAGCACTGCCAGGTACCTGGGTCCTGCAAGGCAGAGGTGGCCCCTCCAGAGAGGCGCCAGGGTTTCCTCACTCGGGTTCTCCTGGGGGCTCCTGCAGCCCTCAGGGAAAGGCCCAGCTTCTCGGGGCGCCCTGCTCCCGCCCCAGCATTCCTCCTCACCCACCGTGCACTTCATCCGCTCGCATGGGGACCCCACCCAAGCCGCTTTCCCTGTACTGCTCTCCTGGCTGATTGGTGCCCCCTGCACTTGCCCATTCTTTTCTATCCCTTGAAAGCCAAAGGAGGGCTTCCTCATTGGGTACTTTTATGGGGAGCTGATTGCTTTTCAGAATGGCTGAAAGAGTGATGGGATCTCTGGTCTGGACCCAGGAGCCTGTGGCGGGGTCTGAACTGGAGCCACCTACTTGGCTGAGCAGGGCACGTGGCTGCCTCTGGGAGGATGCTGCATGCACCCCACATGTGTATCTGGCAGCCAGGCCAGGGCGGCTCGGGCAGGGCTGTTGCACCTGCCAGAGACAGAGGCCCTGGGTTCCCTCAGGAAGGGGACTGGCTCTGGGTGAGCCTCACCCACCCTCTTCTTGTGCCCCAGGTATTACTTCCTGGTGTATAATGCATCGGTCCTCTACTGGCAAATGGTGAGGCCATTTCTCAAGCCTGGGTATCATCACCGCCTGATCCCCAGCCTCTCCCAGATCGTGAGCGTGTTGAATCAGACTGAGGACGACGACAAGGGCTGGCGGGCCGAGCTGATGCTGTGAGTCCCCAGACACCCGGCAGACGCCGGCCTTCCCCTCCCCGCTCCCGTGACCACATCTCACACCGCAGCCCTGGCAGTGCTCTCTAGCCCGAAGTTAGAATCAGGTTTTGTGTGTCTTGTCTGCACATGTTTCTAAACTCTGCAGATGGCATCACGGTGTCCTGATCAGACAGGTGTTACCACAGGACACGTGCTTCTACTCAGAACCCAGGAAGTGGGAGCCTGTGTCATAGTCCTGGCTCGTGGTTTTGAAAATAAATAAGTTGTGAAACTAGTAGACATTCTAGCAACATACAGCTTGGCCAGAGTGCTCACGCATCCAGGTGGCCCCACTTAGGGAAGCTTGCCCTGAGCGCATAACCCCAGGGACATACAGCCCTGTGTGGATGTCAGCAAGTGGTCCCCAGGCGGGCTGAAAGGCGCTCGGTGACACTTTCCTGTATTTGGGTGGCATTGTTTGCGGCCAGTGACTTTGTGGATGCTACGGGGGGGGGGGCCCAGAGGGTCGGCCCTGAAGTTGGAATCCAGAGTGTGCAGGCATTCCTCACCTGCTTTACAGCTATTTGGGGAGGCTTTAACAGAAAATAAGTAAAACTATGCTCTTTCTGTAAAACACCGTTGTTTGAGTCCTTGGTAATCACAGCCAAACAGTGCCCTTTCCCTTTGCAGGCAGTGGCCGAGCTTTCCAGCCCCGGCCTCAGCTCAGTGAGCCCCATACTGGGCGTGGGGTAAGGAGCTGGCCAATCCCTGCATCTTTCTGAAATTCGTAAAACATAAAAATATAATAACCGGGTTATTAGGCGTTTGCAGCAGAAAATGACTTCATCCAGGTTTAATATGGACTATTTTTGTATTATCCAGGGAGCTTCTGGAGTGTTATCTACAAGCTGGAAAAAACGAGGAGGCCGCGAAGTTTTGTGCCACTGCAGCACCATTCATCAAGGCTAATGCGCCACAGAAATATCGACAAATATTTGCTCTTATGGTAAGTTGGAATATTCCAAACTGTAGAAAGAAGTCATTTTCTTAAGCCATTCTTCAGGAAACTATGTATAAAAAACAGCCAAGACCATCCACTGAGAGATACAAAAGCATACATACATGTGTACCAGCATGAACAGAACAGAACGAAATCTCCTTCGTGTGACTGAATATTTCCTTTCTAACAGCACTGAATGTTTTAAAAAGTTAGCAGAAAATTAGTAGTTTAAGTAATTACAGCAACAGTGTGTAAAGAGCATTCATCACCTATTAATTTTATATATAGGAATCAACTTAAATTATATAAGAAAAACTAAACATAAAGCATAATAAATGAGAAAATAATTGTTAATTATGAAATTTTACTTTTAAAGGAGGAATATTTGTAAAATAATAGCTAAATAAAATATCTGGTCTTTC